ATTTCCTCTTTTTTTTTTTTTTTTTTGAGGTTGTCATCTCTGTTGCCCCAGCCTGGAGTGCAATAGTGGCTCACTGCAACCTCCACCTCCTGGGTTCAAGCAATCTCCTGCCCGCTCAGCCTCCCGAGTAGCTGAGATTACAGGCATGTGCCCCATGCCAGCTAATTTTGTATTTTTAGTAGAGACGGGGGTTTCTCCATGTTGGTCGCTGGTCTTGAACTCCTGACCTCAGATGATTGACCCGCCCTCGGCCTCCCAAAGTGCTGGTTACAGGCGTGAGCCACCCGCCTGGCCTCAGGTTTCTTTATAGCAATTTGAGAATGGACTAATACACAACCCCACAAGTGTTTTCATACAAAAAGGAGGCCATTTTCGTAAATTTCCATCCAGGAAATAACCATCAATTATCCTTATAGATTCATTATTACTTCCAATTATCTGTGTGTGTATGTGTATGTGTTGGTGTGTTCCCAAAATCATAATATTCACATGGGGGTGGTGTAGACAGAAACAACGGACTACTAGAATTCAAATTAACCCTAACCCTTGGAGAAGAAAAAGGTTGTCTATTCTATTTGTAGTATTCATCCAACCAACCATCTGAACATTCTTTACACATCTACCATAACATCCACACATCTATTCATCCACGTGGATCCATCTGCCCACTTCACCCATCCCTCCACATAGTATCCATCCATGAATCCATTCAGCCACCCATCCATTGATCCATCCACCATCCATTCATCCACAAAGAAGAAATATATCTCCAAGAAAAAATTGTGAGCTCCATAATGATACATTTATTCTGTATTTATTCACTAAATGTAAGCTGAAAGTCAATTCCCAGCCCTCTCTGTATTCGCCTCCACTCTCTTCCTTGCTCACTCTCTTCGACACTGTGGCCTCCTATGCTGTTCAAGCAGGACAAACATCTTCATCTCCAGGTGTTTCAGGCACTATTCCCTCTGCCCAGAATGGTTACTCCCTGGTAATCCAAAGTTTCCTGCCCTCCTTTCATGCACCTACAGGAAGACCTCCTTTGACTGGCTGCTCTGAAAGATCCTTCCTTCACTCCACATCTCACCTGCCTTACACTTTGTAGAACTTATTGCGACCTGTTTTTTAGGTTAAACTTACAGACTGATGAACCCCCAAGATAAAAGATTTTATAAGGAGAGAGTTTGCTTTGGTTCAACCCTATCCGTCACATTTAATCAGTGCTGACCCATAGTGGGATATCAGTAAATATCTTGCAGAACATACATACACTTTTTTTTTTCTTTTTTCTTTTTAGACTCTGTCTCACCCTGTCACCCAGGCTGGAGTGCTGTGGAATGATCTAGGTTCACTACCTCCACCCTCAGGGTACGAATGATTCTCCTGCCTCAGCCTCTGAGTAGTTGTAATTACAGGCGCCCACCGCCACCCACTGCTGGTTTTTGTATTTTTAGTAGACATGGGGTTTCACCATGTTGGCCAAGCTGATCTCGAGCTCCTGACCTCAGGTGATCCACCCACCTCGGCCTCCCAAAGTGCTGGGATTACAGGCGCGAGCCACTGCGCCCGGCCCACATATACTTTTGAATGAAGAAAGGAATGAATGAATAATCTACCTGAGCACAGAGACTGAGCGTTTATTTATTTATATTTATTCTATGGTTTTGTTTTCCAGATGGAGATGGAGCGTGTAAAACAGAAAGTGGCTCCTGACAGGAGGCTGCCAGGTCTGCGCACCTGTCTCTTGATCTACACGCACACACAGCGCGCACGGACTACATCAGTGCACGCCAGAACGTAAACTGCTTCTGTTGCTGGTGCTCAGAATAGATTCATGATTTTACTCTGCGTCCGTGGAGGCTGTCGCAGCCGCTTGTAAATTTGTTTGTCTCCTTCTGCAAAGGTGGGTGGCAATGACGCACTTCAGCGCGCACCAGCTCCGCAGACGCACGGCTGAGGATGAGACAGCGCCAGACAGGCCGCGGCCCCTGTGATGCGAATCCGACGCCCCCCTGACCGCTGCCCTCCCACGCAGCACCCCGCGACCCGCGGGGACAGAGGCTGCTGCCATGGAAACCGAAGCTGGAGGAGGGAGGTGGGGGATGCAGAAGGGCCTGGCAGCCCCTTAGGGGCCCGAATGTCCACCCCTCTGCAGTCAGGTTGTACCCAGGCACCAGCCCAGCCTGGCACACAGTAGGCCTGCAACACAGAGGGGAAAGCCACAGTCTGCGCCCCCCGGATCACCCGGGGGAGGGGCTCCCTCCAGCAGCATCCCGGGACCCGGCCTTCCTCGAATCCGTTTTCGGAAGGTGTTTCTGTCCCACGCCCCACGTCGCGGGGTGGTGCGATGTGAGCCGTGTACACTGAGCCCCTCTTGGGCTGCTTTGAGGAAAACAGACTGGGGCAGGCAGCAGCGCTGAGAACAGAGGCTGAGGCTTCTGCGGACCCCCGGGAAAAAACCGGAGTGGCTTGGATGGCGTTGAGGGTGAGGACGATGGACAGAGTGATATGAGAATTGTGGATGGAAGTAGCAGAAAAGAGAGACACCCTGGCCACGCAGCGCCAGCCTGTCCTCTTCTATTATCTGAATTTTGTTTGAACCCAGAGGAGCAGAAGCTAATCACTACTCAGCCTTGAGTGCCGCGTGCTAGTCCTGCCACACAGATGATCTCCGTGCGTCCTCACAGCTCCCCACAGCTGAGTGCGGCATCCTAGTCACCACCACAGAACGAATCAGGAAACTGAGGCTCAAGGAGGTGAAGGCACCTGCCCTAAATCAGAGGACTGGAAAACATGGAGCTGGATTTCACCCCAAATCGGACGCCTTCAGAGCATCAACGTGGTGCACCCACATCATTAAAGCTTGAAGTTGAGTTGGATAATCCATTCAAACAGAAAGACACTTCAAATATTGTGGTGGCCCTTGGACCACTTCTCTTCTCCCTTTCCCTCTCCTCCCCTCTGTGCCCTTCTCCTCCCCTCCTTTGCCTCTTCTTTCCCCTTCTCTCCTCATTCTCTCTTCTCCCTCCACCTCCCTCCCCTCTTCATCCCCTCATCTCCCTCCCCTTTCCCCCTCTCATCTCCTTTTCTCCCTCCACCTCCCTCCCCTCCTCATCCCTTCTTCTCTCTCCCCTCCCCTCCCCTCTCATTCCCTCATCATCCTCCCCTTCCCTCCCTCTCATCCCCTCTTCTCCCTCCCCTTCCCTCCTCTCTCATCCCCTCATCTCCCTCTCCTTCCCTCACTCTTATCCCCTCTTCTTCCTCCCCTTCCCTCCGTCTCATCCCCTCTTCTCCTTCCTCTTCCCTCCCTCTCATCTCTTCTCCCCACCTTCCCTCAGTCTCAACCCCTCTTCTTCCCACCTTCCCTCCCTCTCATCCCCTCTTCTCCCTCCCGTTCCCTCCATCTCATCCCCCCTTCTCCCTCCCCTTCCCTCTGTCTCATCTCCTCTTCTACATCTACACTCCTTGGTGCTGTCACCCAGTCTCACAAGTTTAAATGACATCCATACACCGTTAACCACAAAATCTGTATCTGCAGAGTCCTGACACTCACCCGAATCTGCTGCCTCCCCCTCCCAGTCCTGACACTCACCTGAATCTTCTCCCTCCCCTTCCCAGTCCTGACACTCACCTGAATATTCTCTTTTCCCTTCCCAGTCCGGACGCTCACCTGAATCTGCTGCCTCCCCTTCCCAGTCCTGACACTCACCTGAATCTTCTCCCTCCCCTTCCCAGTCCTGACACTCACCTGAATCTTCTCCCTCCCCTTCCCAGCCCTGACACTCACCTGAATCTGCTGCCTCTCCTTCCCAAGCATCTCACAGCTTTCCCAAACTCAACTAACATTCACCGAGTTTGTATATGCACCAAGCACTCTTCTAATTGTTTTACAGGCATTAACATATTTAATTCCTTCAACAGCTATAATACCCAGGATAAAAGCCGACTCCCCGACAAGGACCAAAGCAGCGGACACTCTTTAATTTGACCCTGGGAGGAGCTTGGTCAGGGAAGGCCGACGGCCAATGGGACTTGTCTTGAAGCTGCTGTTTGCTTCAAATTCTTAACAGGCAGTCTTTGCACCACTTATGAATGTGTGTGTGTGAGTGTGTGTGTGAGTGTGTGTGTGTGTGTGTGTGTTTTGGTCACTCTGTAACAAACACCCCAAGCTTAGCAACATAAAAAAGAAATTATTTTGTTATGCTTGCAGATTCAGAAAGTGCAAGGTACGGATGGCTTCTTTCTAGTCCACTATATGTGGGGCTCGAATTAGGAAGGAAGGAAGTCAGTTAGGAAGATTCGATGACTGGGAATAGCCCAACATTTAGAGGGATGTAAAGTGAGGTTAGAAGGTACTAAAAAGTGAAGGCTGTACCGTTGCCTGTCTTGTAAACTCTGGCTGTAGTTTTCAAGCTGGGATGACCTTATCCCTCAGTGGACACTGGCAACGTCTGGACAGTTTTGATTGTCACTACTGGGGAAAGGAATGCTTTCAGGGCATCTAATGGGTGGAGGCCAGGGATGGCCTTCAGTGCACAGGACAGCCCCTACCACACACACAACAAAGAATCACCCAGCTCCAAATGTCATGCTGTTGTTTGCAATTTTCTTCAACAAGCATATCTGAAAACAGATTTGTATCATGGCAAGGAATCGTGAAATGTGCTCACATAAGAGCCAGCTGTGCGCTGCACCCCTTTGCAAGCATGCAGGACAGGAATTCATTATGTGAGACAATGAGGAGAAGAGACAGCCAGTCCCAGGAAATTAAAGAAAAGTTGGCTCTCCGCAGCATCTAGGGACATAATCTGCAAAGCAGACAGCTGCAAGCTAAATGTTTGGATGGTTCAGAAATGGACAGTTCTGCACTGCTGGCCATGATGAGCTGTTTCCAAGAGCTACTCCCTTCGTGAGTTGCTTGGAGATGCATGTATTTCCTGGACCTCAGCTGAACCCTGGGTTTGTCTCTTGGAGGGAACAATCCGTGGTGGGTCAGTGAGCTGAGCTGGAGCCGTGACTGGGCTGTCTTGACTTTCGAACTGCATCTTGTTAGACACCACGGGCTTCATGTTGTAACAGTCAGTATCTAGTCAGGCCTGTGCGAGGCGGGAGGGGCTCTCCCGACCCCACCAAGAACGTCAGGTGACCATCAGGTGATGGCCAGGGAGTTGTCACACTGCCTTTCTGAAATAATAACTGGTCACAGCCCGTTCTAGGTAAAAGCAGTTTCCCGATAGATAAAAACACCTGAGACTGGTGATCGGCAGCTTCCCAATTAGATATCAAGAGTTGGGCGAGTGGGCTGGAGCATGTCCATCAAGAGACAAAATGGTGGAGTTTAACTGGTATTTAACTGGTGTTTGACCTTCTAGGGGCATTTCACCTGGAAGGGGAAGAGCGCCTCTGGTGAGCATGCGTACAACTCCAGTAAACACGCTGCACGTGCTAGCAGGCCACTGAGCATGGAGGCAGCTCAAGGTAAGAGAAGAATCAAGGGAAATGGGATGCAAGATGCTGGGAGTATACCAGCATAAAAAACCCTAAGTCCACGGTCAACCATGGCACTGGTCCTTCAAGCCACCCACTTGGGCCTCTTCCAAATGTACTTCCTTTCTTTTTGTTTTTTTGAGGGGGGGGACCCACAGGTCATTTTATTTAGGAGACCATTTATTCTGCTTTTCTTTTGGCTACTTTTTTTAATTTATTTCTCCTTTAAAAAAAAAAAAGAAAAACAGACACATATGCAGAGCATGCAGGTTTGTTACCTAGGTATACGTGTGCCATGGTGGTTTGCTGCACCTATTGACCTGTCCTCTAAATTCTCTCCCCTCATCCCTCACCCCCCAAACGGGCCCTGGTGTGTGCTCTTCCCTCTCTGTGTCCACGTGTTCTCAATGTTCAACTCCCACTTACGAGTGAGAACATGCGGTGTTTGGTTTTCTGTTCCTGTGTTAGTTTGCTGAGGTTGATGGCTTCCAGCTTCCTTGCCTTTCATTCTTGCTCTAAAGCTTTTTAATGAACTTTCACTCCTGCTCTAAAACTTGCCTCACTCTCTCTTCTTCTGCATTACGCCCCACAGTCAAATTCTTTCTTCTGAAGAGGCAGGAATCAAGGTTGCTGAGGACCCATAAGGATCCGCCTCTGGTCACGTATTTTGGTGCTGGGTCACTTGGAGAATTTGCATCGCTAACAACATCAGAACATTCCCTCCATCTGAATCTTCTTTTTCATGCAATACTAGACACATCCATTCTGTGAGGTGTGTTTTTGGAGAAAAAATTAATCAGTGATACTTGTTAAAGCATGGTAAGGAACACTTTCTCAGGACCATGGAGATAGGTATAGGGGCCACGGCAATGGGATTTCACATGGGGCAGAGAAACTGGGCTTAACTCTGGATACAGCATGAGCAAGTGGGAATGTGTAGCCCAAGAGCAGGGTGGGTGTCAGCAGATAAAAAATTCTTGAGAGAAAATCAAGGTGGTAGCCCGGCTGTGTTCAGTGTTCTATGCTCAGTGTTCAAGAGATGCACTTTTCTGAATGGTGAAAAATGGTATGAGTCCAGTAAGATTGTTGGGGAATTCAGGCTAAACTCGCCTGTCAGAATTCTTGCTGAAGACAAGCCAGGTTGATCAGATGTTATGTAGGGGTTGATGGAAGGTGAGGAACCCGATCAGATATCGAGGAAAGCACAAACCTGAAGAAATAGACACTTCTGGAAACTTTACAACTGCAGGAGTACATGCAAATTGGATTCTCTGCAGAGACCCACCTACCAGGTTACAGCAAAGTCACTGAACAGATGTGCACTGCATATATATATATGTGTGTGTGTGTATATATATATAAAAAATTCAATTTTGTAAAGGTAGGGTCTCACTCCATCACTCCGGCTGGGGTACAGTGGCACACTCATGGCTCACTGCAGCCTCAACCTCCCAGGCTCAAGCAATCCTCCTGCCTCAGCCTTTCAAGTAGCTGGGACCACAGGCACACACCACCACACTCAGCTAATTTTTATTTTTGTTTTTATCGTTTTTGTAGAGACAGGGTTTCACCATGTTGCCCAGGCTGGTCTCAAACCCCTGGCTCAAGTGATCCTCCCACCTCAGCCTCCCAAATTGCAGGGATGACAGGCATGAGTCACAGTGCTTGACCTTATAATTATATATTTTTAGAGCTGTTTTAGGTTCACATCAAAATTAAGCAGAAGGTACAGAGAGTCCCCATAGCTCTGAACCACACATGCACAGCCTCCTCCACTGTCAGCATCTCCACTGGAGATGTAAATACAGACTGGATGCCCCAGGTCCATTGGTTACAGTTGACCCACCTGCATTGACCCATTGCCCAGACTCCACAGATCACATGAGGGCTCACTCTTGGTTTGGTACATTCTGTGGGTTTGGACAGATGCATACTGACAAGCATCTACCATTCTCATATCATACAGGACTGTTTCACTGTCCTGAAATTCCTCTGTGCTTTGCCTATTCATCCCTCTCTCCGCTGCTTACCTCTGGCAACCACAGAACTTTTTACTGTCTCCATAGTTTTGCCTTTTCCAGAATGTCATGTAGTGGGGATCATACTAAATTAAATACACTCTTATGATCCAGCAGTCATGCTCTTTGGTATTTATCCAAGGGAGCTGAATACTTATTTCCAAACAAAAACCTCCACAATGAGGATTATAGCAACTTTAATCATAATTGCAAAGACTTGGAAGTAGCCAAGATGTCCTTCAGTCAGTGAATGGATAAACAAACTCTGTTCCCTCCAAACAACAGAATATTATTGAGGGCTAAAAAGAAATGAGCCATCAAGCCATGAAAAGACATGGAAGAGATTTAAATCCACATTGCTGAGTGAAAAAAGCTAATCAGAAAAGTCTTTATTTTTTCACTGGCAGCTTGATGTCCCATTGGAGAGGTACACCACTACTTATTTTTAAATCCCATTTGGGGATGACTTTTAAAATAAGACTTTGAGACAATTAATGGATAACTAATCTCTAGCTATGAAAGGTCTACTGCAGTGAAGAACTTTATTGGTGAATGTAAGAGTTAAAGAAAGAGGAAAGAAACACAAAAAGATGCTGAACAGTCAAAGACAGGTTTATTTTGGAGAATAAACCTGAGAGGGGCTTCTGATCGATTTCAGTGAGGTACATTCTCTCTCTTACAGATTAAAAGTATTTAAGGGTTCAGAGAGAGAGAACCTGTCACAGGTTTGGAATATTTGTGTGTGAGGGAGAAGTTTATTGTGGGGTTGGAATGCCTCTGGTTGGAGGTGAGGTTATCTCAGGGCTGACATCTCTCCAGTCAGAGGGGAGGTTACCTTGGGGCTGGCATGTCTCTGGTCGGGGAGAAGTTTATCTTATAGTCTGGATGTCTCTGGTCGGAGATGTCATTTGTGGTTTATGGTCATGCTGACCTTCACCATTAGGCTGATGCCCTTTGGATTTAGGAGATTTTTGATCAAGGTGAACTTTTAAATGGCAGTGCTTGTCCAAGATGGCGATGCTCCTGCTCTGTCAGTCAATATTTTAAATGTGTGCATAATCACGCAGGTAGATCAGCCTGGGGCACTCAGAAAGATCACCATAGGCCTCTATAGGATGGATTTTTTAATGTTCCCTTCCTTTAAAAACATGTACTCGGCTTCCCGTAAGCCCTTTCTCAGGATATTTTACTTTTGTTGATGACTCACCACATCGATGGCATCTATGTAGGGCCATGATATTGGAGAGTCAGATTCTATATTGTATATATTTTTAAATGGCTCTTTATCCCTGGAACACACCGGAAACACCTGCCCACTCCTTGCTGTGGACTTCCAGCCTTCACACCAAGATAATAAATTTCTGTTGTTTCAGCCACTCAGTGTGTGGTAATTTATTTAAGGCAGCCCTAGCTTAAATAAAGTACTCATAACTCATTCATAACACCCCATTTTTTTCACATTTCTGCCAAGACTCCAATTAAGAATAAATAAATAAAGCTGTGCAAAATAAGAGCATAACAAAACAATGGTTTCATCCTCATTCCTAGATTCCCTCCCCCAGTCTAGCTGCCCCGTCTGCCGCTGGAGCTCCCACCTGTTGCAAGACGCAGAGGAGGTGTGATGAGGGGACCCCTGGTGCTACCATGGAAACCACACCAGGAATGGGGGAGAGGTGTGACTGGGAACAAGGGAGGGAAGCCCTCAGAGTGAGCTCTGGAAAGTGTCTGGGTAAGGTTGCCCCAAATTCCATCCTAGCACACAGTATCTGCTCAATAAATATTTAATGGAGCAAATTAATGAAATTCTGCAACCTTTTTTTTTTTTTTTTTTTTTTTTTTTTTGAGATGGAGCCTCACTCTATCACCTAGGCTGGAGTACAGTGGCATGATCTGGGCTCACCGCAACCTCCGCCTCCCGGATTCAAGCAATTCTCCTGCCTCAAACAGCCGAGTAGCTGGGACTACAGGTGCCCGCCATCACACCCAGCTAACTTTCGTATTTTTAGTAGAGACGGGGTTTCAACATGTTGGCCAGGCTGGTCTCGAACTCCTGCCCTCAAGTGATCTGCCTGCCTCGGCCTCCCAAAGTGTTGTGATTACAGGTGTAAGCCACCATGCCCAGCCTGAAATTTTGCAACATTGTCTAAAGACTTCGAACACGGATGATTGTGGTTCCTGGGTCATGGGTTTACACGGGATTCTACTTGTGAAAGTGCATTAAGGTGGTTAAAAATTTGTTTTAAAATCTTTATTAAAATTTCTTGTCAAATAATTGTTTTGTTTAATAAAAATGTTCAAAGTTGTGAAAAAACGTGCTAACATTGTTAACAACACAGCCTCTGGCCCCTGCAAACAGAGCCTTCCTCAAGCAGCTTCCCCCAGCTCCCCTCTCTGGCTCTCTTTCCCTTTGTCTCCTCATCTTGTTTCTGTCACCGTCATCCGTGTTTGAACTTACTTGGCTTATTTATTCGTTTTGCTTGTTCACTGGTTTTTTTGTTGTTCTCTGGGTGAACTGGTGAACTCCTGAGCACTGAGACCTCGTCTGTGTGTTTCTGGGATCTGAACAGTATTGGGTCATTACCAATGCTCAACGTACATGTTTTGAATAAATATACGATGTGTCAAAGGTGATTTCAAAGATGCACATTTCCTTTCACTGAACACTATCACTTCTAGAATATACCCTGCAGGTATGCCCAAATAAATGCCACACATGATATGCATGTCATTATTTTCTGCAGCTTTTCTAGACCAGAATAATGGAAATTACTTCATTGTCCATAGAAGGGCAGCTGGCTAAATAAATCTTAGTATCTTCACACTTTGGAAGATTCTGCTACAATAAAAGAGAATGAAGTTATTACCATATTGATAGAGAACAATGCCCAAGATGAATTGTCACGTGGAGAAAGACAAGTGCCAAATAGTACATACCATCACTTTGCAGAATGTGCATCAGAGTGTAATTATACACAGCAGTTTATGAATAACCCATTATGCATAATCACATGTGCATAATAGATTGTGCATGATGATATTTGCATACTATATTAGAACATTTTTGCATGCATACATATGTAAAACTTGACTCTGCGGCAAAACACTGGCATTAGAAACTGGCATTAGAAAAATTGCCACTGGAGGTCGAGCGCGGTGGCTCACACCTGTAATCCCAGCACCTTGGGAGGCCAAGGAGGGTGGATCATGAGGTCAGGAGCTCGAGAACAGCCTGACCAACATAGTGAAATCCCATCTCTACTAAAATACAAAAATTAGCTGGGCATGGTGGTACACACCTGTAGTCCCAGTTACTCAGGAGGCTGAGGCAGGAGAATCACTTGAACCTGGGAGGTGGAGGTTGGAGTGAGCCGAGATCGAGTCACTGCGCTTCAGCCTGGGAGACAGAGTGAGACACCGTCTCAAAAAAAAAAAAAGAAAAAAAAAAATTGTCACTGGAAGGGAGAAGTGAAAGAACAAAACTCAGAGGTGGAAGAGAGAATTCTTTTTGTTCTGCTTAGCAATTTGTACTTTGTTTGAAATGAATACATAGATATGCAAGAGTAAAAACAACTATTTATGTGATACTAACAGTTCTATTAAAGTGCTATTTTATAAATGTCACCATAATCATTATCAAAGGGGCTAGAGGTTAACATTTATAAGATATGTGCATTAAAGTGTTCCAAAATAGTATAACAGGATCTGGAAAGAAAAAGATTAATAAATATAAGATTATCTACAGATTTAATTAATGGAAAAAATAAGCAAACTTTTGAAAGCAATCATCAGTAAACAATTGGAAATGAAATTTTAAAAATACCAACCACATCTCTATCTAAAACTATGCAATATCTATTGCAAATCTAACAACATATACAGAAGGTGTGTACTCTAATAGAGCACACATCATTGCAAAGAGAAGTTAAATAAGACTTAAGTAAATAGACAGACATGTGATGTTCGTGGATGAGGAGATCTGGCAATGTTAGGATGGCCAAGCCCCCAGGGTATCGTAATCCCAGTCAACTTCCCAGTGCCATATTTTGTAGAAATTGACCCACTGATTCTAGAGTCTATGTGGAATGACAAAGGATCTACAATTGGCCCCCCAAAAAATTAGGAAAACCTAAAGAAAGAACAAAATTGGAGGATTTCATCTGATGTCAAGATTTTATAAAGCTACAATAATCAAGACAGTGAGGTATCAGCACATGGAGAAACATATATCAATAGAACAGAGTCCAGACACACATCCCCAGTCAATTGATTCGTGACAAAGGCCATGGAACTTGACGGGGAATGGAAAGTCTTTTCAACTAAGCATTCTGGAACACATATATAACTTAATTTAAGATGGGATTATAGACCTAAACATTGAAATCTTCCAGAAGGAAATATAGAAAAATATCTTCATGATGTTGGAATAGGCAAATATTAGGAGACAAAAAAAAAAAAAATCTCACTATTAAACAGTCAGTAAACTGAATTACATTAAAAAAAATTCTATTCACCAAAATATTCCATTAAGGAATGAATATGCAATACACATGGTGGGGGATTATATTTACAATCCATATGTCTGCAAAAGGACTTATAACCAGAATATGAAAAAAATGCCTAAGTCAATAGTAAAGGGACAATTCAATTAAAAATGAGTAAGAAACTCGAATTGGAACTTTACAAAAGAAAATATAGGCCGGATGTGGTAGCCTATAGCCTGCTATAAGAAAATAGCAGGCGGATCACCTGAGGTCAGGAGTTTGAGACCACCCTGGCCAACATGGCAAAATGCCATCTCTACTAAAAATACAAAAATTAGCTGGGCATGGTGGTGGGCACCTGGAATCCCAGTTAGTCAGGAGGCTGAGGAAGGAGAATCACTTGAACTCGAGAGACAGAGCTTAAAGTGAGCCGGGATTACGCAACTGCACTCCAGCCTGGGAGACAGAGTGAGACACCGTCTCAAAAAAAAAAAAAGAAAAAAAAAAATTGTCACTGGAAGGGAGAAGTGAAAAAACAAAACTCAGAGGGGGAAAAGAGAATTCTTTTTGTTCTGCTTAGCAATTTGTACTTTGTTTGAAATGAATACATAGATATGCCTGGAGGTTTTCTAGACCAGAATAATGGAAATTACTTCATTGTCCATAGAAGGGCAGCTGGCTAAATAAATCTTAGTATCTTCACACTTTGGAAGATTC